AGGCATTTAATTCAATCTGGCTAATGCATATACTTTCCAATTAGAGATGCACCGGCCGACAAGTTTGATTAATAAAAAAGAGTTATTGATGGAGAAATGAACAGCAGTCGGTCGGAGCTGCCGCCGGCGATGGAAAGGAGTCGAATATAAATGTGTATCCGGGATGATTTTTTTTGCTCTCTCTCTCTCGGCAGGGGCGCGATGGCAGGCAGAGCGAAATGAAAGATGAATAGGTTTTTGTGCTGTGAAAACAACTTTCAATAAAATTGGGAATCAGCAGAGTGAAGTGAAACGCGCCGCACAAAAGCACCTTTTTATTAATATTGAAGCACAAATAACACACACCGCCTTTCATTACATTTATTAAATGTACACATGCACCTCTCTCCATATACATATCATTTCCAGATCATCATTTGCGCAACGCATCATCGCTGTCAAGCTGCGAGAAATATTAATATTTGTTTTGCTTTTGCTTTTTTGCTCGCGAACCCACTTACCGTTATTGTTGATGCGAATTTTCTAGCACGGCTCTATCCATAGTATTTAATGGAATCCATTTGTAAATAAAATAACGTGCAGCTTCATATCCACCAAGGCGAACGTGCACCTGAAATTCCAACAAAGAGAGATGGATTCATGGATATGGCGAGGTGTGAATCAATGGGGGGAAAATGCGTGAAAATAAAAAAAGTACTGCTTGAGTTGCAACGAAATTTGTTTATTAAAAGTATTATCATCACATTAGGGATTACAGATATTTTAATGTTTATTGCTTAAAACTTTTTATTATTTTATATCCGAATTCAATAACTTTAATTTAATTGAAAATAATACTAAAAGTCGTTAAAACTTAATAAAAGAAAAAAAATTAAAGACATAAAAAAACAAAATAAAATTAAATATGATATATCTAGAATTTATATAAAATAAATATTTTTTTTCTAAAATACTTTAAAATAACAGGAATTATAAAACATTAATTTTGACATATTTCAACTTGTAACTTATGATTTTCTTTTTCAATGTAGATCCAACCCTTATCAGGAAGCGCAGGCGAAGAGAGCTACTATTGTGCCAGATGCTGGTGTCACAAACTATTTCTGTGCAAACAACTATTACTCTCTCACTGGGCCAATCGTAATTATATTTAAACAATATTGAATAACTTCTTTAAAATTCTATAGTGCATTAACCAATGTATGTAATTTAATTTAATTTTTTTTATAAATAAATAATAATAATTAACTTTTATGATAACATAGCTATGATAATAAATGTTTCTAATTGCTGACATTTTTGCTTCTTCTTGAAATTTACACCTTATAATTAACCAACTGATTATTATGCTAATGCAAAATGAACAAACTATGAGGGTCGAATAACGAGAACAGGTGTTTTTTGATTACACAGCTAAAAAAGGGACTGCAAAAGAGGGGTGTGTGATGCTGCTGTGTGTAATATGTGATGAATTTGAAGCAAATCCCGGTGGAATGTCGGGAAAGCGAGCGGCACTAATGGAGTGGGAATAGGGCGAGCTGTATCATTAAGCACACGCGCCACCCGCCGATTCATTTGCCAATTTTACACGTGTTGCACACCTAGCTGCGAATAATCATGCAAAACTGCAGCGCAGAGAGAAGTCGTGATGCACAATGAACGCACTGATTTCGTCATTGCCCTTTTTTAACTCAGTCTTGTGCAATGTACAAAAAACGCATACCCAACACCACATTTTGCGTCGATTAAATTAACAATATCACTCATTCCGTGGCACATATGCTGCAGTGTGCTCGTCCACTGACTGAGGAAATTTGACCGGTGGGCATAATTATATTTTAGATAAATTCATTTTAATTTGAGTTGTTTTACCTCGCTAATTAAAACTAACTTTAATACTCCTTGTTTTGAATAATTTTATTGTGAAAAAAGTAGCCTCTGTTATTGAAAACCATTTTATTTTTTGATATTATAATTGAGTGAGGAAATTAAAAATTAATATTATTGATTACTAAAAGTTTTGAAAATAAATTGTAGAGCTCATTTAGATAATAGAAATTGCGCGATTGTTACATAAACGTGTTGATCTCAAGACTTGTGATGCTTACATGTGATTAACACACCTATTTTCTACGACCTTCATATTGAATTTAAATCGACATTTGTCCAAAGAGAACTTAAAATTAAAGTAAAAAGCCATTATCATGTCAAAGAACAGCAATTAATTATGTTTTCTGTTTGTGAAAAGTTCTCATTTGTAAAACCGTCGCTTTGTCCTGAACGTTGTTTGTTATGGCGCAGCTTTGAAGTCATCATTGCTACCAGCAAAAATATGAAATGTTATGAGCAACTGTGGCAAAAAAATATTGGATTATCGGCATTCGCAGCAGGGCAATCAACCGGCAGTCATTCAATTTCCTACATCAAGCGCGGCCGGGTGGCAAATACCAATTTTGGATAAAATTGAAAACTCTACTTGATTAAACTTTTAGTGCGTGGTTGTCAGCAAATTGAACGATTTTGAGGCACGATTGAAATAATTAATAATCGAATATTACAATGGGAAATTGTCAACAGCTTGGCAGTTCTCCTATCAAAAATGTACATTCATCAAAATTTCAACAGGGTTGTTAATGTCTTTCTTTATCTTGATATCAGTCATAAAATCTGATCTTCTTGGTATTAATGAATAAAAAGGGTCAAAATGAAAAGGCACTCTAACAATTAGAAGTACAAAATTAATCTCACTCTCATTCTCTAAAGCCTTGCCATTCAAAATTTAAATTGCTACCTATATTTTGGGGGGGTGAAAATGATATGAAATTTTTGTTTTGTAGGAAAATACAGCGAACTGCATTGTTGGTTAAATACTGTCGGTTAAAAATTCAAATTTTATTTCATCAATTTTATTTTTCTTCTTAATTTTCACATAAATTTAAGGCATTTTATGGGTGTTGAACACTTCAAATTTTTTCAATTCCACTCCGCGCTCATAGTTTTGCAAATTTTTTTGCTTTACTAAGTTATTTTTACGGCATTTTTCTCTTTTTGCAACAAACTTTGTAAAATAAATATCATGTTTTTACAGAATATTGATGTATTCAAATGAACGAAAGCCAAAAAGTTCATCGGTCAGATTTCCGCAGCTGTCGATTCGCTATTCAGCTCGGCAGGGAACACGACTCGCGCATTTTTAATCGATATGTTACATACATGCGATAATTTCATCCGCCCTCGTTGTGTGTGTTATTCGCAGCGTGCATTATTTACACGCAGCAACACGCTGCTCTGCAGACCGACTATGAGTGAGAGATGCGCATACATTTGCCATTTATATATCCGTGTGCGTTGTGCTGTACAACACCCTCGATGATGGCACATGAATTATTTTCCGCGGCTCCACCGACTGCGAAAAAATGAAAAAAAAAATCAAAGCACGAATCCTCATGACATAGTGAAATAAAAATCTGCCGCTGCTAAAATGCTGTCGCACCCATTCCGCTCACGTACAAATATTTTCTCTCCACCGCCGACGACATAACAAGCCAATTCCTCCGGATCGCTTCTCTCGCCTGCAGCACAGATTCCGCCGCCGCCGAGCTGCCCAGACGACCTGCGACCTACCTTTTGCCCAAAAACTGTAAAAAATTATCGATCCACTCAAAGAAGATTGCTTTTGGGAAGGAAAAATAATAAATAGAATTCCAATTAACATACACCGCTTTGTGTTGTAATAACTAGAATGGTTAAAAAGTCTTATGATGTTTAAGTATGTTTCTTTCAAAATGAATTCTGATAATGGATCTTTGCTAATATTTTTCATTGTAATTTGTATATGCAGGTTTTTTAACAGACTTTAACACTATTTCTTTTCCAGAATACAAATTTTTTGCTATTCAAATTGTTACAATAATGGTAAAAATTTAATAGCTTGAAAGCAGTTTCTTCTCTAGAACATAATATGACCTTAAAATGAAAATCTTTGGAGATTTTTTTACAATCATCTTCAAGAGGAATTTAAAATAAAAAAATTATATTTATATAATTATATATATATTTTTTTTTTTAAATCATGAGACATTTTCACGAGTCTTTTCTCTATAGTATTAATAGTTTTTAATCTATAACCTAATAAACAAAGATAAATAAACTTGCTGTGGCCACTCTAAATTTAAAAAAATAAAATCACAAACATACGTCTTTCAAAATATACTGAATATTTTCAAACACACATTATTACTGAACCATTGCTACAATGGCTTTGAAATCAACGCGATTCTCTTCTCAGAATTTTTATTTTAAATAAATTATTTACTAATCTAGTTGGTCAATTTACTGATAACTCTGTGTCAAAACTTGCTATTGTCTCCCAAAATAAAATATTAAAATTGTACAAAAAAAAAAAAACTGAATTTTTCAAACACACAATATTATTGAACCATTGCTCATATGACCATGTTAATAATCTTCTCCAATTGCATATTTAATATTCTAGTTGGTCATTTTGACAATATACCTTTGCTAAAACTATTAAAATTCAGTTAGAGTTTTGTTGATTTTTTAGTTTATTAATGTTGCTGTGCATATTTTAGAAGTTAATTTTTTTTTAAACTTTATTGGAATTCATATAATTTTTAGCCTAATTTTCTTCACGATCATGCATTCAAAGTTAGTCAAGTTTAATTGGTCGCAGAAGTGGTGGCTGCTTGGTGAAAAGTGGATGTCAAACTTTGCACTTGTGGTTAAAAGGAGGTCTGGCAATGAGGAGGAAAATCTCTGCAGAGGACTGCAAACTCACTTGAGTCGGACAAATCAATTCCATAGTAGAGTTTGTCTGCTGGAATAGATGTTGAGTCTAATTGTATCCGATTGAAAAAGTATAATAAATTAATAAACGAGCAACCAATACAATTTAAACTAAAAATTATTTCCAATAATTGTAAACAACTTGCTGTGTCGTTGGGTGTATTAATCAGAATGAAAGTCATGGTAACCCAGGTAATTTCCGCAAATGTCTTAATTTCTCTATATTTTTCGCCATTTACTCCGATAAACAACTCAGATATTCACAAGGAACAGGAACAGTGTGCGCGATCCTAAAAAACGATGATATTTTTTCCGAGTCCATTGATATATAATATTAAATAGGTGCCTGATGGAACACGTTTTGTTGTTGATGCAAGTGTGTGTGTGTGTTTATTTTGTGTGTGTACATTCATACCTTTCTAAAGTCACTTTCAACACGCAGCGTTCGTTCGATCACTTATAACAAAATATCACCAAGAATGATTTGTCCTTCATCCGTGCGTACTTCGCGCGTAGTTTGTCGAGCTCACAGGGTTATTGCACTCGGTGGCTGAAAAGCAGGTGCAGGAGCAGCAACAACGACGCCAACAACAGCGCCGGACTGGCCGACACGCCCGACGCACCTCCGAGGACTGCAACAAATCAATCAGAATCGTCAGATGGCAAAAATTTTATTTATCACATTCTTCAAAAAATTAATTTTAATGTAAATAGGAAAATTAAAACACAACAAGTGATCAAATTAAAGTAAACAAATTCGTTAAAACAACAACAGCTTCACACTAAATTTTTAATTTGTATGTATATTTATAAGTTTACCCCACACATTTTACAAACGAATATATTAATGAATTATAACTTATTTATGCCTGCGCGGAGCATTACTTTTTTTACTATAAAACAATAAACGACGATAAAATCCACCGAAAAAAGCTGAGTTAAATTTTAAACCTTAACCACGGAATTGTCTATATATTTATTGGATATGTATTTATAAGAAAATAGCCTTCTGCATTAAACAAAAACGTACTTATCAAAAATCCTGATTGAAATTGTGAATAAAAATTTAATTATTATCAATAATTACAATATTTTTATTTCTTAACTCAATGATCATAATTTTAGTTGCCTTTCCTGGATATTTGGGATCTATTATTTACGGAAAAATGTTTTCATGATTATTCTTTGCTAAATTTGTTAAAATTAAGCAAAATCAGAAAAAACTTTCTAATATAATTATGGAAGTTTTCTTGAATGTTTAATTTTATTCTGTAATTTAAATATTAAACATTAAATGTGATATTAACTTGTAATGAAGCTGGAGAAACAAAATTTCGATAATCTGTGAAAAGGTAATTAATGTAATATTTGCACTAGCAATTTTATTTTTCTCTGAAGTTTATGTTTTCTCTCTCAAAGTTTTGCATTGCTGTCAGCAATACCAAAAATACACATTTTTTTTTTGTACTTGTAGCTCTAATTACATTACGCCTCTGTGTGCGCCGGCCCTAAATGCGCGTGCGAGTGTCTCGAATGAAGAAGTCTGGAATAATGGCTTTTAGAGACGGAGGTGCGCCCACTCGGATATTTTCTTTGATGTCACACAGGCACACAGCGAGAGACTTTGTGTTTCTTTCCTTTCTGTGAGAGCCCGAAATGTTTTAGAAACGAGTAACAATATTTGGCAATGGTGTTGCTGGGAAGAAATGAACAAAAATCGAAATTATAAGCAGCCTAAATTAAAAAAAGACCTAGAAATTCTCAATTTGTAAAAGCAGATTGTTGAAGCAGAAAAAATTAATTGATTGGAGCAAAACAATTTAAATGTTTTCTAAAATCATTGAAATATTACAAATTATTATTTTTTGTACTTCTATTACTTAAAATTAAAAAGCATTTTGCATTATTCTAGTAGTAATTTCTTCTTCTCCCAAAATGAGGAATATGTAAAAATTTGCAAAGTATTAAAAAAAATGAGATAAATTAAAAAAAAAATGTTTGCAATTTATATTTAATTAGTACTCACAGTCCATCATGACCCATTTGCTGTCTAGCGAGGGCACGTTCTGCTGGAACGGGTTTTCCGGCTTGCGGAGGCTCACGTTGGAGGTGCACTTGACGGTCATGCGCCCGTTGACAAAGTGGTGTTCCATGGCCTCAAAACGGAGGCCCGTCCTGATGGTGACGAGACCATGCTTGTGCACCACCGGCTCGAAGTGGATGACATTGTCGCCCGAGACCTGCGACATATTGTTAAATAATTGAGAGGCGCCGTTTGCCGCCAGCCAGCCAAGGAGGGCAGACACGCGGACGTGCGACAAATAAAAAGCAGCCCGAGCCGAGGTGTCGGGCCGCCGAGCCGCTTGTTTATTCAATTTATAAGAGATCGGCGGGCTGAAAGGGTCAAATATCTCCGGCATGGTCAAACTCTTGGCGCAAACTTTGCGGACGAGCGCAAGGAGCTCGGGTGCATATCAATTGGGGCCGCGCGCTTGATCAAGTATTAATGCCGTCGGCCTTTTCTCCCGGGCCTTTGACTCTGTTCTCGCCACCCTCAAAGCCCACCCGCCCTAACAGACCTGCGGTCGCTCTCGCTCTTTTTTCCCGAGGTCGCCTCAGCCACCTTTTTCACTCTTCTTTTTGCGGTGAATTTCGCGCGAATAGAGCAGGATCTCGCTGCATTCATTAAGGTTGAATGCGGTCCTGCTCTGTTTTGATGCTATCTGAGAGTCTTTGCTAGGAATTTTGTAAATTTCCATGCAGAACCACGACGTTCTCATAAACCATTTGAAAAGGAGAAAATTCAGCGTGAAAGAAGAAAAAAAAATTGGAGGAACCCCTTGAAAAAGGCTTATATACAAAATCAACTCTGGGATTTTTAAAATTATTCTCCAATGTTAAAAAATAATTTCCTTTTCCAGTGGAATTAAAAAGGCCAATAAAACTAATTACTGCATATGATTTTTGTTTTTAAGTTGTTTTCAGAACTAAAATTAATTTAATGATATAAGAGAGTGAAAAAATTGACAAAATTTAAAAACATTTATGAAAATAAACGTACGTGAAGTTGGCGATATCGCCAGCCTTTGGACCAGATTTTTTAAAAGTTGTGAACCTGGCGATATCGCCAGCTTTCAATAGAGATATAAAACATCATTTCGGACAGTATAAACACAAAAACAAATGTCCAACGACATAAAACATGCGTCCGAACAATACAAGTGATGGTACAGCTACAAAGCGATTTCAGGTGTTCCTACAGCACGTTTCCAGTAGAAACTCCCTGTGCCGCGACGCCATGCACCATTTCGGACAGCTAGTACACCCAGCTGTCTGAATTGGTACATACTAAGGTGCTCCCACCCTGCAGGGTGAACGAAAAACCACCCCTTAGGTAAATTTGAGCTAAAATGTTCACTTTATATCGTTCGGACGCCCTTGCGGCCATCCGGGACACTTGTGCCGCGACGCCATGCACCACTTCGGACAGCTCGTACACCCAGCTGCACGAATTGGTACATACTAAGGTGCTCCCACCCTGCAGGGTGCACGAAAGACCACCCTTAAGATAAATTTTTGGTAAAAAAGTAGCTTTAAATCGTTCGGACGCCCCTGGGACCATCCGGGACGCTTGTGCCGCGACGCCATGCACCATTTCGGACAGCTCGTACACCCAGCTGTCCGAATTGGTACATACTAAGGTGCTCCCACCCTGCAGGGTGAACGAAAAACCACCCCTTAGGTAAATTTGAGCTAAAATGTTCACTTTATATCGTTCGGACGCCTCTGGGACCATCCGGGACGCTTGTGCCGCGACGCCATGCACCATTTCGGACAGCTCGTACACCCAGCTGCACGAATTGGTACATACTAAGGTGCTCCCACCCTGCAGGGTGAACGAAAAACCACCCCTTAGGTAAATTTGAGCTAAAATGTTCACTTTATATCGTTCGGACGCCTCTGGGACCATCCGGGACGCTTGTGCCGCGACGCTATGCACCATTTCGGACAGCTCGTACACCCAGCTGTCCGAATTGGTACATACTAAGGTGCTCCCACCCTGCAGGGTGAACGAAAAACCACCCCTTAGGTAAATTTGAGCTAAAATGTTCACTTTATATCGTTCGGACGCCTCTGGGACCATCCGGGACGCTTGTGCCGCGACGCCATGCACCATTTCGGACAGCTCGTACACCCAGCTGTCCGAATTGGTACATACTAAGGTGCTCCCACCCTGCAGGGTGAACGAAAAACCACCCCTTAGGTAAATTTGAGCTAAAATGTTCACTTTATATCGTTCGGACGCCTCTGGGACCATCCGGGACGCTTGTGCCGCGACGCCATGCACCATTTCGGACAGCTCGTACACCCAGCTGTCCGAATTGGTACATACTAAGGTGCTCCCACCCTGCAGGGTGAACGAAAAACCACCCCTTAGGTAAATTTGAGCTAAAATGTTCACTTTATATCGTTCGGACGCCCATGCGGCCATCCGGGACACTTGTGCCGCGACGCCATGCACCATTTCGGACAGCTCGTACACCCAGCTTCATGAATTGGTACATACTAAGGTGCTCCCACCCTGCAGGGTGTACGAAAAACCACCCGTAAGGTAAATTTATGGTAAAAAGCTAGCTTTAAATCGTTTGGACGCCCCTGCGGCCATCCGGGACACTTGTACAATTATAAATATTATATATTATTACGGTTCAAAAAATTTTTTCAATAAAATTTTTTAATATACTATTATTTATAAATTTTAATTGCGTATGTTTTTGACAAACAAATTACAATGACTATAATTCCACCCGGAAATGACCGCGCTTTGATAACAAACAAGACAAATTAATTATTAATGCTATTGTTATTTTAATTGAAGTGAATTTGTTCAAATTTTTAGATCACATGAATTTTTTAATAAAAGTTATAATTCATTTATAAAATAAATAATAAATATAATTTATTGATGAAATAAATTAACTAAAAGAATATATTGACATTATTTACGAGAATGCTGCATATATGATTTAAGCTATCCCAAGGCTGCATGTATGCTTGGGTACAGCATATATAATACAATTTCATTTTAACTCTTAATAAATAAATAAAAAACTACAATTTTCAATTTTCTTTAATTGGCAAGTAAAATAAAAAAATAATGAAAAAAGAAAGTGTGAAATACAATATTTTACAATCATGCAAAAACTGTACATAATAATAATAATTTAGCAAACTTCATTTGTTTTAATTAAGTTGAAACTAAAGTTCATTTAATTTTAAGTTTGTCATTAATTTATCACTTTATAAATAAAATGCTGGTCAAATATTTAAAAAATAAAAATGCAATTTACATAACTAGCAAATTATTTAATATAGGAGCATTTCCGAGTGAGATTGAGGGGGCTTTGGACAAAAAAAATTACCATATCTTATTTTAAAATATGTCAAAGTGGGTGTCTGGAGGGGCCTCCTCGCCAATTTTGAGACCTCAAAAAAGGGGCGTTGCCCAAAATTTTGGGGGTTGAAAAATGACCCGAGATTTTTTTGATTGTCCATAACTTTGGAACGGTTTGGGTTAGAACAATGATCTAAACTGTTCCTGACCTAACTTTTTACGCTAAACAACTTTGCCGTTGACATAAAAGTCGTAGACTTAAGGGTAATGTCACTTTTCGGAGATTTTTATATAAAAGTAAAATTTTGCCGATGATAGCCCCCTCCAATTTTTTTGGTGATATAGGAAAAAATGTAGCCCATGGAATTTTACGTCGGCCCTGTAATTTTCAGAATGGCCATTTTTTCCGTTTTTGAGAAAATACAGGCTAAATAATGAAAAACGTGCTTTTCCGAGGCATATTTTTGGATAAAAAATTTAAAAATCTTAAAAATTAATAAATATGAAATAATTTATGTTTCTTACAGTCAAAATAACTAAAATTTAGGATATATCGTAGTTTTGATTGATTTTTCAGGTTTTTAAATTTTTTTATCCAAAAATATGCCTCGGAAAAGCACGTTTTTCATTATTTAGCCTGTATTTTCTCAAAAACGGAAAAAATGGCCATTCTGAAAATTACAGGGCCGACGTAAAATTTCATGGGCTACATTTTTTCCTATATTACCAAAAAAATTGGAGGGGGCTATCATCGGCAAAATTTTACTTTTATATAAAAATCTCCGAAAAGTGACATTACCCTTAAGTCTACGACTTTTATGTCAACGGCAAAGTTGTTTAGCGTAAAAAGTTAGGTCAGGAACAGTTTAGATCATTGTTCTAACCCAAACCGTTCCAAAGTTATGGACAATCAAAAAAATCTCGGGTCATTTTTCAACCCCCAAAATTTTGGGCAACGCCCCTTTTTTGAGGTCTTAAAATTGGCGAGGAGGCCCCTCCAGACACCCACTTTGACATATGTTAAAATAAGATATGGTAATTTTTTTTGTCCAAAGCCCACTCAATCTCACTCGGAAATGCTCATAGATTTAAATTTTTTAAGTCAAAAAATGTTTGTCAAAAACATACGCAATTAATATTCATAAATAATAGTATGAACCGTAATAATATAAGTTTGAACCGTAATAATATATAATATTTATATATTTATATATTTATTTAAGTGTCCCGCATGGCCGCAGGAACATCCGAACGATTTAAAGCTAGTTTTTTACCATAAATATACCTTACGGGTGGTTTTTCGTACACCCTGCAGGGTGGGAGCACCTTAGTATGTACCAATTCGGACAGCTGGGTGTACGAGCTGTCCGAAATGGTGCATGGCGTCGCGGCACAAGCGTCCCGGATGGTCCCAGAGGCGTCCGAACGATATAAAGTGAACATTTTAGCTCAAATTTACCTAAGGGGTGGTTTTTCGTTCACCCTGCAGGGTGGGAGCACCTTAGTATGTACCAATTCGGACAGCTGGGTGTACGAGCTGTCCGAAATGGTGCATGGCGTCGCGGCACAAGCGTCCCGGATGGTCCCAGGGGCGTCCGAACGATTTAAAGCTACTTTTTTACCAAAAATTTATCTTAAGGGTGGTTTTTCGTGCATCCTGCAGGGTGGGAGCACCTTAGTATGTACCAATTCGGACAGCTGGGTGTACGAGCTGTCCGAAGTGGTGCATGGCGTCGCGGCACAAGCGTCCCGGATGGTCCCAGGGGCGTCCGAACGATTTAAAGCTACTTTTTTACCAAAAATTTATCTTAAGGGTGGTTTTTCGTGCATCCTGCAGGGTGGGAG